TCAGGCAATAGTGTCAAACCTGTGGACTGTGAAACCCCCTGCCACAATGAATAAACATCAAAGAAAAGACACCAGAAACACGAAAAATCAAGAAAGTACACCACCCAAAGATAATAAATCTCAAGCTCTAGATCCTATAGAACAAGAAGCCCTTGAAATGACTGACGAGGAATTTCGAGTGATAATTCTAAGGAAACTGAATGAGATACAAGAAAACTCAGCTAGACATCATGATGAAAGGAGGAAAAGTATACAGGACCTGAAAGGGGAAATGTACAAGGAAATCAATGCCCTGAAAAAAAATGTAGCAGAACTTGCTGAACTGAAGAGGTTATTCAGTGAAATAAAAAACACAATGGAGAGTTTAACCACCAGGCTTGTCGAAGTTGAAGAGAGAACCTCTGAACTTGAAGCTGGGCTGTTTGAAATAACACAAGCAGACAAAAAAAGAAAAAAAAGAAAAAAGAATCACAGGCATTGAACAAAATCTGAGAGAGATATCAGACAACCTTAAGCCCTCAAATATCCGAGTCATGGGTATCCCAGAAGGGGAGNCATTATGAATACAACGTACCCATTACTACAGCTAAAACTTAAAAGGCAGAAATTTTTAAGTGTTGGCAAGGACAGAGAGCAACAGAAAGTCTTATACACTGATGGTTAGACTATAAAATGATACAACTAGTGTGGAGAACACTTTTGCAGCTTTTTAAATAGTAAAACATCGCTCTCTGCTTTCTCTGCTTCTACCATCTTGCAGTGTGAGACCCCTGTGTCACTGTCACCACCACCAGATGTGTTCCTTGAACTTTGGTCTTCCCAGCCTCAGAAACTGATACTGCCAGGCAAACAGAGGGAAGGAGAAGAAAATTCCTTAATTTTTAAAATCTAGATGTAGCGGAGGAACCGGCGGCAGCGGCAGCAGCGGAGGAACTGGCGGCAGAGGCAGTGGCGCCCTTGACGGCAGTGGCAGCGGCGGAAGCGGCGCCAGTGGTAATGGCAGCAGCGGCAGCAGCGGAGGAGCTGGCAGCACCAGCGTAAGTGGCACCAGCGGCACCGGCACCAGTGGCAGCACCAGTGGAAGCAGCACCAGCGGTAGCGGCAGGAGCGGGGGAAGTGGCGGCAGCGGAGCCAGCGGCAGCGGAGCTGGCGGCAGTGGTGCCAGCAGCAGCAGCGTGAGCAGCGGCAGTGGCAGCAATGGGGCAACCGGCAGTGGCAGGAGCGACACCCTGCGATACCGCCCCATCACCCAGCAGCCCAGCAGAGTCCAAGCTGACCAGAGAAGTGGCTCCCCCAAGAGGCCCAAAACCCGAGGTAACCACAAACACAAGGCACTAGTGGCCAACTGAGTAGTCACTGAGGTAGCCATACCA